GGCGGGCGGGCGGGCGCGGGGCCGCTGGCGGCTCCCGGCTGAGCGCTCTCCTCTCCCCGCAGGTCACCAAGGGCGAGACGCTGACATAAACCCGCCGCCGCCGCCGGGCACCGGCCGCCGTGCCCCGCCGCCCCTGCTCGCATCACCAATAAACTGCTGTGCGCCTGCCCTGCCTGCTCTCCTCCTGTCCCTCCCCAGGGCTTTGGGCCCCTGCACGCTTGGCAGGGCTTTAGGGAGAGGGGCATGCCCGCAGATTGCCAGGCCTGGCCGCCTTCGGGGTGCTCCCTGGGGGCCGCAGAGGACTCCACCTCAGAGGGCGCCTAGACCCGTGGTGGGGTGGAGGACGTGGGCCCTGCGCCCGAGGATGGCAGGAGCAGCCAGCACAGGGGCGATCCACTCAGCCCCTTTGAGGCGCTCGTGTCTTCACTGACCTCGGCCTGTCAGTATCGAGAGCGCCAGCTCACTGCTCTTGTCTGCTGTGTGTTGGGGAGACCTTGGAATTGGTGTCAGTAAAGGCTTTCGTATTCCCAGCAGGCTTTAAATGTTTCTGCACGTTTTTCTGCAACCAGAAATTCACTTCTTGGGGTGAGGATGCCTTGTCCATGATGTTTACCTTCTTGGCCATCGCTGTAACTTTATGCTTTGCCTTTTTATCTTCAGGGTTGGTAGGTGTGACATCTGCTAGCTGCTCCCCAATAGGTGTTTTCCCCAGACATCAGAGTTTAGTTGTCTGTAAGCAGCTCTGTGCTGTGGTCTCATTCAATACGGTGACTTCTCTAGGYCTTCTCTCTGCTTATATAGCCAGATATATATGCTTTACTGTCAGGTAGAGCTGCATATCCCAAGGGCTTAGCTGCTTCTTGGTGGGTGGTACTCATGGAATTAACACTTTGTACCAGTGATGTAGAGCTTACCTCAGAGTGCAACGGCTGCAGGGTGTGTGTGTTACAGAAGTAGATGCCGAATGCTCAGAGATGTTGTTGTTGTCACGGCATGTGAGACGAGTACTTAGAGGGAAAGCTCCTGTGTCTTTCCTCTGAGGCAGTTCCTGTATTGCTTAGGTGCACAGAAAGTCTGCGCTGCCTGTCCGTGTCACCTCTACTGAACRTACTTCTGGATGGGCTGCAGTAGAGTCTTGAAATTTTGATCCTTACATATTCTCAGAACTTGGCTGGACAAAGCCTGGAATAGTGTGATTTTTTTTTACTGTGGTTCTGCTTTGAGTTGACCTAAAGACATCTAGAGACCCTATCCTAGTATTCCTCACCCAAAGATTGAAGAGAGCACTGTAGACATCCCTGGCACCCTTCTAGACTGACCTGTTTGCTTGAGATACGCTCCGTATTGGTGTGCAGGGTCTCTTGGTTTTTCTTGGTCTCCTGACAGGCCGTTACAGCTTACCCTCTCTTCCTTCCCTTGCCCCAGCATTTCTCACAGGAGTTGGTGATGCTCGTTGAGTTCAGCATGGCCACGATTTTGGATGTTGTGATATGTCTTTTGCAAGACCCTGCTCCTCAAGGAGGTAGACTCACACAGAGGGCAGGCATTGCAAGATCAGTCTGTCCACATTTCATCTTGCAGCAGAAATGCTGGACAGCTCTTGCTGGCAGAGAGCACTGCCATTTTTCTGTTCTTTCCAGGGAATGTCGTAGTAGTTCTGCATGCCATCCTCGCAAGATCGCGTTCTCCATCTGGTGCCTGTTACTGCTTGTTCTGGGTCGTCTGCTGAAGGTGAAGCCTGCTGATCATCAGTGGGATGCAGCTTCTTGCAGCATATGGTCTTCTAGCGGATGGAGTTTCGGTATTTTTGAAGAACTCAGATTTTGTTTTAAAGACAGAAGTGTTCTCCTGGTCTTTTTTGTGTTGTTTTTTTTTCTGGATACCGGTGCCCCAGGGACTTGCATGAAATTTGTTGAGAGTGACCTCATTCATTCCAAATTAGGASATTGAGTTTTTTGCCATGCTTGTGATGGCAGCCTCCCCATCAGGCATTTAATGTAGCAGAAGAAATAGGCTCTCTCTATCCTCAGAACATTTGAGAGGAGTGGGTACTCAGGCACCCTTCACAGCTATCCAACTGATGCCTTATCCAAAAGTCTGAAGAGCGAGTTGTCCCGAAGCCTATTATGAAGCTGGCAAGTGAACCAGCTTCGTGAGAACTTGAGCCACATCTGTAAGCTGAGATATCTCGGTGTTCCTGAGCAGCGTGTGCTCTGTCCACCCTTTTAGCACTGAGCCAAAGCTTGCAGAGTGATAGGCGCAGCCCTGCACCCCTGARTGATTCTTGGATCTCTAGGTGAGCATAAGTGGCAATACTGAATTAAAATCTTGTGAGAGAGCAGAGGTGGTGCCAAKTTGGCTTTAGGGTTTTTCCAGTGCCTTTGGGAGAAGAGGAAGATGGGGCTTAGGTTTGAATTGTCACACRTGTATGTGTGCTACATATTTAAACCTATTGAAGGGGAGTTGTGCTAACCAGTATTTTGCTGGAATTGGAAAAGCCACACTTTCTCATCACACTGGGCTTTTGTGGTGCTTTTAAGTCCCATTTGCTGTTGTCCCAAGTACATGGCAGGTGGTTGAACCTTATGCAGTTACCTGAGCTGATCCTGAAAGAGGAATGTATTAGCACACCCCTGCTTTTCTGAGTGAGAGGTTCYCTTGTAGCTTCCTTGTCCTTAATAGCTCTAAGAAGGTGAGTCTTTCTTTAAAGATCCAAGAAGATGGTCTCTGCTTGCATCTAGATGCCAAGGCACAGTCATTAATGGAAGTCATCCCAAATAGTTGTCTTGTAAAGAGGTATTTCCTGTCCTGCCTGCTGATCACACCAGCTCAGTGAGCTGGTAGAATCATGGAGGTGTGGAAAATTCCCAGACCCACTGAGATTGGTTTATTTCCAAAATGATGATAACAACATTGCTTTGAAATTTGCAAAGCGTCAGGACCTGCTCCTCTTACATGTAGCAACCTTATGGGCAGTTAGACACTCTGCCCCTACTTCCTCCTGTCTGACACATGACATGCTTGAAAACTGACATCCTTATTTTTTTTTCTCACAAAAATGCAAGCCCGTAGTTAGCAGGCTTCCCTGCCAATGGAGAGAGGAAGATAGTGGGAGCAGGCATCCTGGAGCCAAAGGTTCTAGAAAATAATACGAGAAAATAAAATACAAACAAAGCTTGTTTGAGCTGGTGTCCAGGAAGATTGCTGTGGCTGTTTCCAAGGAAAGAGGAAATGTCAGACTTCTTAGTCGCTGTAGCTGATGGCAGGGTAGAAGAGGCATCGCCAGCAGGGCATTTGATCTGAGGTCAGGATGGTGGGAGCCCCACTCACTCTCCTGAGTGATTCTTGAAGCCCACCATGCAATCCAACTGGCTGTCGTTGCTTATGCACAGGCCTGYGGCGATAGAATTTGGGCAGCTGAGAGGCTGGAAGGAAGGGCTCACGCTGACTTGGAAGGACTGTTTATTTCTGCACGCAGAACTCGTGGTGGTGGCAGTGACGGCCCAGCACACGGTCCTGCTGCTCTCTGCTCTGGAGGCGGTTCATCAACTGAGTGCTGTGGAGAGGTGAGGAAGATATTACACGGCTAGAGATGTTACTGAACATGCTATGGTGCACCAGCACCCCTGTCTGCTTTGGGTGAGCGGGATGTGTGAGGCCAGGCCAGGCTCTAAGCTGCTTATGCACTCTGAGGCAGGGCTGCAGGAGACCCTCTTTCCCAGGGCCAGGGCAGGAAGGGCATTGCGGAATGGGGGAAATTCCCCTGGCTGTGAGGTATTTACCAGCGCTTTTCCTCCTCCTGCTTGAGCCTCTCCTGGTTCTGTTCCACCCTTTCCTTCCACTTGTCCCGAAGAACTTTATAGGAGGTCATGAGTTGCAAGGTCTGCTTAGCTGCTGGGGACACCTGCCTGCAAGAGAAGTGACAAAGTCCCTCTCCTCTCTTGGAAACCTTGCAGTCCCCTCTGGCTCCATGCCCTGAAAACCACTAGTGGAGGGGGCGGAGGTGGGGAAAAATGGGACTGAGCCCTGGAGCTGAGGAATATGAGGTCCTGGCAGCTCCTGGAACAGGGGTGGGTGAGAGCCCCTCACCTGTCCCATGCTCTGGCTCTTAGCTTGCACACTCACACTCACTTACATTTGGGTGGTCCTCCGCAGCATGGTAGTGCCTCGATAACGATGCTGCACYAGACCAATGTGCTTCGGCAGCATTGTGATCTATTTTGGAAGGAGAGAAGAAGAGGAAAGGGTTTCAGCATGGAGAGGAGAAGGGGCAAGATGGCCCTGCCCTGCAAGGAAGGCACCTCGTCCTTGCAGAGCCAGGCTTAAGCTGCGCAGGGAGCTGATAGCGAGAGCTGCCGGAGCTGAGCTCCCATTCACGGCTCCGAGGAGCTCCAGGGGGCTGCCTGAGAGCTGTATTGCAGCTCCAAGGCCTCTTGTACCTGGGCCTGGCGCTGGGCATCTTCCTTCAGGGTGGCCTGCCACTCGTCCAGGGCTTGGTGCTGCCTCAGCTTCTCTTTTATGAGGGCAGCAGTAGCATCTCTCTTGAGCCTCCACATGGCAGGCCGGGATGGATGCTGTGGGACCACAGGAAGGCAGTGGTGTTAGTCTGGTGTCTTTGGGTGTGGAGCCTCAGCAGTGGGGTGCTGGTGTTTTCATTCCCGCCCTTGTCTAGAGCCTCGCCACCATCCCTCTTCTGCAGGCATTTCAGCAGACAGCAGGCTGGAAAAGCTCTTCTCAAAGTAGTTCCCACTGCGTCCCCAAGTGGCAGCAGAATAGGCCACCGATGGCTCCTGTGGCCTCGCACTGAAGGCCCTTTGCAGAGGGGACTCGTAGGCCTGAGGTTTCCCCATGAGGTGTTGAGATGCTGGATTCCCCAGAGCCCGATCACGCACCTGTGCTGCAGCTCTGGGAGGGCTGCCTGCATGGCCACTGCGAGGCCCCGCAGGAGGATGTGGGGTGTATTTCAGGGCAGCCTTCTTTCTTAAGGAGATGCCCTGGATGGGGGACAGCTGCTCCACAAGGATCCTGAGGAGACACCATGGGATGCGTTAGAGGAAGGGCATCAGATGTTTGCTAATAAGGATTTGATTTCAACTCCCCCAGAGTTTGGGACACTGGAAGAATATGAAGGCAGTGGGAGGCTCTCCCACCATCCTGCTTGTGCTTGGCATCCAGCAAGGGGCAGCCTTTGCTGGGACATGTGTCCAGAGGCCTTTGGAGTCCCCTGTGCAGGTGTCCAAAGGGATACTTSCCCTGCACTGGTGCAAGTGTTCACTTTCAGTCCTTTCCCCAAGGCTCTTACCTGGCAGCAGGCTTGCTCTTTGCACTTAGCTGTCTCCTTGCGCGTTCCTCTGTGTTTGGCAGCACGGGCAGAGAAAGACGCTGCTCTGCAAAGATAAAAGCAGGAAGCTCTTGAAAGCAGCCTTTTCCAGATCACCCAATGCAGGAGAGAGAGAGACAACGGCATATAGAGGCAACTTTTCTCTGACCTTTGCTGCTCCTGATGCCGCCATGCTCTCCCTTCACCTCCTTCTTCTGTGCAGAGCCCACAGGGACAGTCTGAGCCTTCAGACTGCCTCGTACAACAAGTTGAAACCTGGAAGCCAAACGACAACCCAGCTGTGAAGGGAGCACATCCTCTCCCCTTTGCACTATGTGGACACTGATCTTCCTCGCTGCCATTGGAGGCCTTCTCGTGTCCCACCTCCTTGGTGAGCAGGCACCACTGCTCGTTGGCAACTGCTCCTTTTGTGGCTCTTTGCCCCAAACAACACATGGTGCAACCCACACCCCTTTCTGGGAGCAGTCCCTTCTCTCTCCTGGGGCAAATTGGGCATGAGAAGTGTAGTCATGTTTCTTGGTCACACACAGCAATTACATGCGTAGCCCCAAAGGAGCATTAGTTAAGCGGGACTTGGTAACTGTGTGACTGATTTCCAGCTAGATGATGCATAATTGGAGCTCAGGAGTGCATGATCCCAGGCAGCATTTAGGAAGCTGCCTCCTCRGTTGGCCAGGCTCTACAAAGGAAGCATGCTCACCTTGGGAATAGGTACACAGAGCTAGGCCAGCTCTGCGGAGCAGCAGGTCTGCTGGAGGGGGACAGATCTGTCATCTGTAGTTTCTGCAATGTAGCACAGTACCATTGTGAGGTTTCCAGGGCAGTTCTCTGTGGCTGCCGATGGCAGTTAACCATTCTCCAGCTCCAAGAGACAGTTGCCCCTCCAAATCCTTGCTCTAAGCGCTCCACTGAGAACATTAGCCCCCRCTTCTGATACGGAGAATGTTCACAGCAAAGGAAGATAGCCTGGCTGCAAAACCTGCCTGGCTTTCAGTCCGCGGGCCAGGGTCCAGCAATCAGAAGGGGCTCTCTTTGCATTGGGAGCAAGCACTGGGGAAGGCCTTCAAATAGCTTGCTATGTCCAGGCTTGCAGACAGGCCTCACATTGGGTGGCTCCCCCTTTGCTAGGATTGCCCAGGAAGCCCAAGCAATCTGGGGAAAAGGGGGTACTTACACTGCGGAGGCCTGCAATGAGGCTTGCAGTGCCCTCCAGCCACTGGGTGCAGTGCGTGAAAAACCGCATGTGCACCTTGTCCCTTTGGCGGGCCAGAACTCCAACATCCCCAAAGACAAAGGCGATGTTCTCCTTTTTCCTCATGTGGGAAGAGAACAAGCGGATCGTCTCTTCCACGCAGCCTTCCACCACTTGCTGGGAGTAGGAGGTAGCCCGGGATAAGCGCTCCAAGTCCAGTGGCTTGATCTCCAGGTTGACTGCATGGGAGAGAAATGCTGTCACTGCCAGCATCTGGCCACATTTCCTTTGCTGCCCCCAGAAAGAGGCC